ACTAGTCGATATCAATCTAACCCAGGACCAGAACACTGGGCAGCTGTCAAGACGGTCCTTAAGTACTTAAGAAGAACTAAGGACATGTTCCTCGTATATGGAGGAGCAGCAGAGTTGCGAGTGGAAGCCTATACAGACGCAGATTTCCAATCTGACGTCGATGATAGAAGTTCCAACTCCGGATATGTATTCACTCTGAATGGTGGGGCTGTCAGTTGGAAGAGCAAGAAACAGAGTGTAATTGCTGATTCCACAACAGAGGCTGAATATGTCGCTGCAGCTAAAGCCGGCAAAGAAGCGTTCTGGATGAAGAAGTTCATCACTGAACTTGGGGTGGTTCCAACCATTACATCACCAGTAACTTTGTACTGTGATAATAGTAGGGCGATAGCTCAAGCCAAGGAACCCAGGGCACATCAAAAGAACAAGCATTTTGATAGGCGCTTTAATATCATTAGAAGATATGCTGCCGAAGGGAAAGTCAACATCCTCAAAGTTGCTTCAGCCGATAGCGTAGCAGATCCACTGACAAAGCCAATGTCTTAAATCCAGCTTGACCGTCATATGGAAAAGATGGGTATTAGTTACATGGGAGGATGGCTTTGAGTGCAAGTGGGAGATTGTTGGAAGTATCCCCACAAAGCCACTCATTTGATGTAATAGCTTTTCGGAATACTTAATGTATTAAACTTTTATATGTTTAATGAAGGGCAAAGCTTATTGTTAATCACTATTTATTGTATCATGTGTTTAAGTAATAAGGGAATCCAAGGGATGTATTTGATCTAAGAGACAAGTGATCTAAGTGAATTAGATTATCGAGACCATTCTCTTATGTTCATTCCTAAAACGTTCCAAGCTATAGGATTGCCAATTGGGTATTGACAATCCGCTAAGGTTAGTATGTGTTATGTCGACTCAAGCTTGAGTATGACTAGTCTCAAGTCATTTGGTGTTGGACACTAAGACAAACACATAGGTGCTCGAAAGAGTAATCGAGTACACTGAACAACGATCGAAAGAGAGTGCGAACATACATGTCATGTAAGAACTCGAAAGTTGCAATATGTAAAGTAGTCCTTTGACCTGAGGCATCATAGATGTCTAATGGTTAAGTCCTTGATCTTTGATCATGTCAACGACATTCCATCAGAGTGTCCACAGCATTGTTGGGGTCAAGCTATCTAGTCATGTAGGCATATGAATGCACAACAAGGGATCTCTAACCTTCCATGGTGGAAGGAGAATACTCTAAGATATGATTCGTAAGTCTTTGGCCAAAGCAAATGAATATGACTTAGGAAGTTTGTTCCAATTCATATTCAAAGGAATGATATAGAAATGTATCACATTGGATAGTAGACATGAAACAAAGTATCACTTAAACAATGTGATTAAGAGTATTGTATTAGAGAAGGACCGTATTGCATTGTAGTTGTAACTGGATAGGTTCTCCAACCAATTCTACTTAGCTTGGGTAACCATGACATACTGCTAGGTGTCACTCATGGTTTGTGGAAGCCCTAATGACTAGCAAACACTAATCATAAAGGGAGAATTGAAATGTGGTTTCAATTCACAATCGATCGTTAAGAGTAACAATCGCCCACTACCTCGCTAATTGGAACCTAATGGATCGTACACCGAGTAAGGGCGATAGCGAAGAAATTAAATGAAATGGATATGCAATTAAATGGTTTAATTGAAGAATGGTCAAGATTAATTAATTAGTTAATTAATTATACGAAAGGTTCGTATTGGGCTTTTAAGTTGGTTTTTGGGTTTCGGGGCCCAAAAGTGTTTTGGTCCATAAAGCCCATTATGTTTAAGTTGTATGACAACTAAAACAAAATGGGCAATAAGCCCAATCACAACATATAGGCCGGCCATGGTGAGGAGATGGTGAAAGTTTGCTTAATTGCAAGTTTGCCACTCACCAAAGAAAAGTGTTATACAAGCAACTTTATAGCTATTTTCTCATTAGGGTTTTCTTTGAGGCAAAGAGGTGAAACGTTTTCTCTCTTTCTCTCTACAAAGAGGCCGGCCACTTAGGGAGATTAATCTAGCAATCTCTTCTTCCCTAAGTCATCCATTTCATCTTCACACTTAACCCTTGGTGTGGAGACTTAGAGACACCAAACTTTTGGTGTTTTTGGAGATCCTTTCCTTACATCCACAAAGTCCAAAGGAGCACAAAAGGAGAAGGAAATCACAAGCAATATCCAAGGAGCTAGGAGGTGACTTGAAGGCCCTCCACTTGGGTGAATCCCTTGTGTAAACAAGGATGAGTTTCAAGGGTAAAGAAACTCTAAATCTTTACTTCTCTTTAATGTTGTTAAAGAGTCTTTTGGTTCACCATATACTAGGCTTTGAAAGTCATGGGTTTTATGAATTGTTTTTTAATGCATGCCTACTTTAAAGTGTTAATAGTTTGCATATGTATTCAAATGTTCTTACTTGTTCTTAGCTAGGACAAAATTTTTCCTTCATTTTTGTACCTATCTTGGGTGCGAGAAGGCTCACTCCCTTTTATCTTATTCGCTTTGTTCTTGGAGGAGATCTTGACGGGGGTAGTGTTGACGGCAAAAGCTTCCTTGGCAGGCTTCTTCTTAGTCTTGTCCACCTTCGAAGTAACACCTTGTCCTTTTTGAAGTTGGTGATTGACTTTTTCTTCTCACGATTGGCGATGCTCATCTCCATGTCGTGGGAACAAGTCGCCAATTCGTCAAATGTCCTTGGCTTTTTACCTTAGAGGATGTAGTGTAGCCCATTGTGCATGCCTTGAATGCACATCTCAATGGCGGAAGTTTCAGAAAGCTGATCCTTACAATCCAGACTAAATGAGCGCTGTCTGTTGATGTAGTCAACGACCGGTTCATCTTTCCATTATTTTGTACTTGTCAGCTTCAGCATCCGTACGGTGCGGTGCGAGTTGTTGAAGCGGTTGAGGAATTTCCTTTCAAGCTGGTCCCAGCTATTGATGGATTCAAGCTCGAGGTCGGTGTACCAATCAAAGGCGTTACCTTTCAATGAGCGCACAAACTGCTTGACGAGGTAGTCTCCCTCTGTTCCAATGTTGTTGCAAGTTTCGATGAAATGGGCAATATGTTGTTTGTGATTGCCCTTTCCATTAAATTGCATGAACTTTGGCAGTTGATAACCCCTTAGCATCCTTAAGGCGTCAATCTTCTTGGAGTAGGGCTTTGAGTACAACATGGAATCATGAGAGTTTCCTTGGTACTGCGCCTTGATGGTGCTAGTGATCATCTCCTATAGTTGTTGGATAGAGAGAGATCCCATAAGTGTTGTCACTTGGTCCAACTTCTCTTCGGCTTTCTCCACCAGAGGCTCTTCCTTTTCTTCGGTTTCCTCCTTTGGTGGATTAACCTTTAGGTCAGCTTTATCGTCGTGTTGCACCTCTAGACGGTTGACGAGCGTAGCAATTTGCAAGTCATTCTCCTCCACGGTCCTTGTCAGCCTTGCAATTGCTTCACTCATTTGAGCCAGCTGCTCCTCAATGGAAGTTGCGCTAGTAGTCATGACTTGCATGGCACGAGCTACTCGAGTCGACGTCACAAATCAAAGACTTAGAGTACCTCATTGGACTTTCTTTCCTTGCCGCCCTTAGCAAGGCCAGGGTGATCACAGGTTCATACCTTGGGTGCTCTTGCTGCTTCAGCAAAGTTGATGGAGGGGTGGAAGACATGGCAGAGAAAGTTCTTGCCTTGCTTCAAGTTGTGACGCCCAAAATGCCACCACTTACGGCAAGGATGCCGTTGTTTTTCGTGTTGGTAGTATGAACAACTTGATCCTTTCTTGATGCCATTTATGCAGTTTTTTAAGACAGAGATGAGAGGTAGAGAGGTCCCATCGAGCATGCCAAATTTGTAAACATGAAAAATTATGTATCGAATGAGATGAGAACACGTGTACAAAGTAGATTTGTATTGATTTAAATTTGTAGGTCATAATCTTTGTTTACAACTTTTCCTCTAATTCAGTCTTCAAATTTGATGTAGATGCGTGATTGTTGATCCAAGGGTCGCAATGACTTGATCTTGGACGAATGGTTGAATGATTGTTTCAAGTTTTGAGCTTGAAAACAACGCGTGGATGATCTTCACCTCAAGGGTGTGGCAAAGGTAGTGTTTGATGCAAGATTTCGTTGCTTCAAGGTCTTGGCGACTTGATCTTGAAACAAAGTCTTGAAGGAATAGGCACGAGTGCTTGTTGATTCTTCAAGGAAGTGCTTCAGCTTTGGTCGAGAGGAAGCTTCAGCTTTGGTTGAATGTTCTTCGAAGAGAGCCTTGGCTGCATATTAGTCTTCCAAGGTTTGGCAGAGGTTCTTCTGTGTAGAGATTTTTTGACCCTTATGCTTGTGGGAGGACCTTGCATTTATAGGCTTCTCAAGGCTTGGCTTTGGGATGATTTTAGGCATGTTTTGTGTCTTAATTTCAGCCACTTTACTCCCTTAGCCGAATTTAAGGATCTTGTTACCTATTTTGTGAGAAATTTTCAATTCTTACTTGTTTTATGAAGATGCTTTAGCTTTCTTTCTAGTTTTAGGATCAATGTGGATTCCCTAGCCGAATTTAAGGGGATTCTCCCTTATTGCCAAATTTTAAAGGATGTTTCTTCTCTTAGCCGAATTTAGGGAATGTTTTATACTTCCCTTGCTTGATTTGTGCTACATGTCATTGATGACTTGTCTATTTGTGATAAGTCATATGTCACGTGGAGCTTTGTGATGCATTATTTTATATGCAACAAAATTTATATGTCTACAATACGCATAAAGTTGTCCATTAATTTAAGAGTATTACATTTGTAAAATATACAAGTAGATGTCCCCGATTCGATACGGGCTGGTTTACAAAAAGAGCAAACTACACTGAACAGCCGGTCCGGTTCGTATGTGAACTGTTTGACCTTCTCTTTGGATGAAGTCAATTCAAACCGATCGCTCGGGTCCGACAGGCGGTTTGAATGGTTGGGCCGGATAGATTCCCACCCCAACCCAAAGATTAGAGAGCTGAAATAAACGAGAAGGCAGAACGCAGAAGGCAATCTAAAAGGCATGGCGTGCGTTGCGTCCTGGTATTCTCTGCCTCCGGTGCGACCTCGCACATGCCACTCCAACGCCTTCTCGAACAACAGAGGTTCTTCCGCTCAGCTTAGCTCCACATCTCCGTCCACCATATATTTACTGTTGGCAGCACAGCACACTACTTAATCAGCTTCTCTTGTTTCTTCAGGCATCGCCGTACGCAGTAGAAAAAGTCATGCGCTCCTGCAATGTTGCAAAAACAAACAAGAAAAAACGGACACCAAAACAGAAACATGGTAAGCGTTGAATTCCATGGTAAGAGGAGACAAGTAAAGTAATCTAATCTAGTTTACCATTTCACTCGAACTCGATTCGTTTGTTTCGTTTTTTTGTTTTGTTTTATATAGTTTTGGCATTGAATTCCAAGCTACGAGGAGACAAGTTGTGCTTGGGACGGCGTTTGTTGCATTTTCTTTTCCCCATCTCATTTCAAATGCATTGGCAGAGAATGGTAGTAAGAGTCTCGTTTTTCTTGGTCGCCTGGTGGTGACCATAGATTCTGTTCTCTCAAGCTTACATGCTCTTAAGGATCATGTTGATTTTTTATGCTTTTCAAGTGTTGGATTCTAAAATGTTTTGTATGTTTTTGTTTTGGTTTTTTAATTCAGATGTGCCGGAGGGTTTTCGAGTTTACACTGACGATGTCAATAAGTTCAAGATATTGATTCCCCAAGGTGAATAAGCACATTACTAGTTAAATTCCCAAGTAAAGTTTACATTTGGGGATTATATACCTAAGGGCTTGGTATTTGTGTTTTTACTTTTTGGAGACTGGCAAGTAGGCGCCGGAGAGCCAACTGGGTTTAAATCAGTCACTGCTTTCTACCCAGAACAAGAGGGTAATAGCTCAAGTGGGTACTCTCTATCTCAATTGCTTTCAATTATTCGACATTATTCGGTTCTGTTGCATTTGTACATAATGCCAGTCTTTCTGGGGCTGCTGCTTCAGTTAGCGTTGTGATCACGGGGCTTGGTCCGGATTTTACAAAGATGGAATCCTTTGGTAAAGTTGAAGCGTTTGCTGAGACTCTGGTAGTACCCTTCTCCTAGTTTTAATTGATTTTATGCATACATGTTTGACATGGCCTGTGGAAGCATTTGTTCATTTACTCATAAGTTTTGCATTAATTTTACTTGCATATTCTCTTCCAAGGTTAGTGGATTGGATAGGAGCTGGCAAAGGCCAGCAGGAGTGGCAGCAAAACTTATAGATTGCAAAGCATCGAAAGGTAATCCTCCACTCATAGTCATACATACCAACTCAGTATTGGTCATGAATTGTAATGATTTGAATTTGATGACGATGACGATGATCGTCAGGCCTTTACTTCATCGAGTATTCACTACAAAAACCCGGTGAAAGTTGCAAGCACCTGTTTTCAGCACTTGGAATGGCAACCAACGGTTGGTACAACAGACTGTATACAGTCACCGGACAGGTATCTATTCGACATGAGTTTCTAAGTTGTACCGTGTTTGTGTTGTGCTCTGGAATCCAGATTCTTTCTTTCTCATGCCAACATGCGATGCTGATACTGCAATATCTATATCTTTCTGCAGTATGTCGAGGAAGAATCAGATAAATACAGCGCCAATGTTAAGGAGGTCAGCTTAAAATGAAACGTTATGTTAATTTTTGTTGTCGATCTAAATAGTATGATGTATGAAACTGAAACCTGTTTCGTTTACTGAAAGCGCAAAGCTGTATTTGGTTTTGCAGGCTGTCAAATCCTTCAGGTTCATTTGAGGGCTCCAGCCAGAGTTTGAAACTCCAGTTTTACACTGATTTTGATTGTCAGTACGGTCAGTATTTCGTGGTAATATAACGAGATACATTTCAATCAAACATCTAGCTGCCGAAGAGAAGATTGTTAATACTGCAGCAGCACTTTCATTCTATTATAAATCAGAGAGATTTCATATATAACATATGTGCATTTGAAAGAGCAACAATCCTTTCCGTGCAGGTTCTAACTGGTAGATACCTAGCAAATCGAAGTTAAAAAGGAACTTGTGATCGAGAACTTTAGTTAGGTTAGCTAGCTCAGCTTCTCCCATGGCTATTTGAATTAAGGAAGTGTTCGAAAATCATTATATTCAAGTAAATCAAAATCAGAGAGATTAATTTGGTGGATGGGCGTTCGGGAAGAGTTTTTTGACACAAAACTAGATGATATATATAATATACATGAATCATAGAGAATCAATCACATATTACATTCTTTTCCGTTCCTCTCCAGTTTTTGCTCAACTTTTTACGAATAACAAGTGTCAGCTTATCCAAAAACAGCATGCTTTTCATTTGCTCGAGTTTTTGCCATTCTTTCTCCATCTGCAATTCTAACCCCTCAAAGCGAACAATCTTCTCTTGAATCTCTGTAATCCCAGAAATCGCTCTCTCGACATCCATTCCTTCCTTCTCAAGCTGTGAATTTGCATCTTCTAAGGCCTCATTTTAGAAAAAATGCTTCACCCAGAATCTCATTTTAGAAATTAACTACTTTGGATAAGAAAAAGGCAAGGGGACTTGTTTCTAGAATTACCTGAGCCATAATTGGGTTCCCCGCGTCTGCAAGAGGTGTGAGACACATTCTTTTACTGGGGGATGGTGCACCGTTACTCTCCAAATCAGCAACAAATTCCTCACCAAAAGGAATTTTAATGAAATGAGTGACACATTCCTTCTCACTTTTACCGACATATTGTGCAACCTTCCTCCAATCGTCGCCATAATGCATGAGGGCTTCTAGCAGATGCATAGTATCTTCACTGATCTTAACCATCCTGAAATCTGAACAAGTGCCACCAATCTGATAGTTCCCACGAAAATAGCAGCTTGAACATAGAATCATGCCGTACTTGTCACAACAAGTAGTGACAAGGTGAGTCGCAAAAACCACAAATACGAATGTTATGCATGCAATGTGACTAACGAGTATTGTACATTGTCACATATATATTTAGCACTTCAAAAATCTCATTCTACACTCCAAACTTTCTACATTAGGAAAGAAAAATATACTTGTGAGTGAAGGGTTTATTTTGGGGGAAATGGGTGAGAATTGTCTCTCCATTTTCTCTCTAAAGAGGCCAACACCTTGGAGGGTACATCTAGCAATCCTACTACTCCAAGGTCACTCATTTCTTCTACAATCGAACCTTGGTGTCGAGAATTAGAGGTTCTCAATTTTGGGAACTTGGAGAACCTATTCTTCCATCCAAATCCATGGATCTAAGAAGCAAGGAATGAAGGCCCTTATCTCTTTGGGTGATTAGCCTTTGCTTATGCAAAGAGGAATCTACAAAGGTATTAATTTCAACTCACTTATGTTTTGAGTTGATTATTGGTTCACCAATCTACTAGGCTTTGAATTTCATGGGTAAATGTTTTGTTTTTGAGTGCATGTAAGCATGATTCCGCCTTTAATTGTTAATTGCATGCTATATGATGTTGCTCAAATGAACATGTTTTACAAAATAAATCCTTCAAGTGGTATCAGAGCCTAGGTCTAGTAGTTGGTGAATCCTTTTGTGTTTTGTATTTCATAAGTTTATGATCTAAAAGTTGTAATTGTTACAAGCTTTATTCTTGCTTCTTTGAAAGTAAATTTTGTTGGAAAATTTGCTATCTCAAATGTTGTAGATGTTGTTCATATGAGCATGAATATTTGAGCTAAAATTTGGTGCCATGCTTTTGGGAAAATTCGGCCAAAACCAAAGGGTGATTTTTTGGGTTCTTGTTTGACTTGTTAAAAGTGTTTTAATGTGTTCTTTGGAACCCCTAAGTACCCTAGTTTGGTTAGATGTTATTTCCCTTAAGTAAGAATGGTTTTGGAATGTTTTTGGGTGAAAAAAGTTCATGGAAAAATTTGGGTTTTTCATGAATGTTCTTCATTGTTCTTGTTGTTCTTGCCAAGAACAAAAAGGTTTGGTGTTTTGATTCAAAGTTTTGAATTATTTCATAAAGTATATGTGATATGTTTTTAAATGATTTATCATGTATTTAAAGTATTATATTATTTGTATACATGATGATTGAAATAATTATGATTGAATTATTTCAAAACTTATCTTACATACACTTGCATGCTTTTGACAAAACTCACTAATCAACACACACACCAACCTCATCCTCTCCCTAAAACCGGCCACTCCCTCAAAGGGAGTACTTTTGGGGCTTTTATGCAATTACATAAAGTTTTGATACTTTTGTGTATTTGCACTTTGGCCCAAAAGTTTACGTTTTTACGTTAAGGTCCAAAAACGCTAAAGGACAAATTGTTTTGATCCTTTAATGATGTTTTTGCATTATTAAAAGTTTGGGTTCTAGTTGTATTTACATGAAGTTGTGACTTTTGTGTATTATACAAAGTGACCCCAAAAGTTTTTGTTATTGCAATATGGCCCAAAAGTTGAGGTTAATTGCATGATGGCCCAAATAGGATGAGAACAAAATTGTTTTGTCTCATTAAATGAGAATTGGATTTTCATTTTGTTTAGCTCCATTTAAATCAATCTTATGGATACAAAAACCAAATGAAAATGTTGCATTCAATTAATTAGTTAAGTGTTAATTAATTAAAGGGTGATTATGAACCTAAGCCTAATATAATTGAGCTATGTGAAAGGCGTTTCAAATTTGTTTGAACCATGGGAATGTGTAGATTAGATTTTGGTTGTAATTTGATTTGATCAAATGTTGTAAAAGGGCTTAAGCTCTTCTTTACTTTAAAGTAATTTGTTATATGCAAATGTTGTAATGAGCATAAGCTCACCTTTACTTTGAAGTACTTCTTTCTTGCTTTATACGATATGCATGAAAATGAAGTAGTTGGGTCCAACGCCCCTAAGACAACACGCCTTAATGTGATTAAACGCGTAACTAAAATCAATCACCATTCCTAGACCGAGATTCAACACAAGGCTCATGTTGAATCTAAACAAAGGTTCATAATCATCCTTAGGCCCTAAGGCAACTATGTAGTCCATCAAATGAATGCAAAGTTTATGTTAGTAGTATCATATACTCTTGCTTTAAAAATCGTTTTAAAAGCATAGTGGGAGTATTATGTACAACTAAAACAAAGGGATGGACCAATAGTTGTAATAGGACCAAAATTGTTTTAATAGAGATTAAAATGTATGTTAATATGTGATGAGACACAAAACCCTCAACCAAACCAATATTAAGTTGATAAGCGAGAGATGTTTAGAATATCTCTTCGTGGCCTTCCACCGTGGTGGGATCCAATCGTTTATGACTTGTACACCGGCTTCACCCTATCATGGGGGAGTACAAAGTGCATGCTTATACTCAGGAGGAATCCATATACATATGATGAGGTGAGTGTAGGCAACGAGGATAGCTATACATCGTATCATCGTGAGGCTATTCTTGAACCCCTTCACACACTAAGCATGGTGGGAAGAACTTAACTAAGTGAAATGGAGCCAACATCATATCATTGTGAGGTGACATTCTCTAGAGGCCAAATAAGATGGGTACTTGCATTAGTTGCAAATGAGTAAGCGTACTCTCTCATTATTATTGTTGCTAGCCATACATCGTATCATCGTGAGGTGGGCTTGGTAATAGTGAGCCTCCCATAACCTACTAAGAGTTTCTTCCAAAACTCTCGAATTCCTATGAGGGATATGGAATTTGCCAAAAATAGTGGGTGGTGCTATTTGATTTAAAGACCCAAATCAAATGGCTTAAAATCAATCAATCTATATTCGTTATGTATTTGTTTACCAATATATTTGCAAACGCTATCCAACACTTGATAAAAGCCGAACGTTTAGTTTACGGACTTGGTACCACAATCCCAAAGAATGTCTTACATGGATTGTATATGTACCTAAGTAGTCTCATCCTCAAAATCGTTCTAATGATAATGTATCATTGGAAGAACATGTTAGAAAGGTCTATCATGAAGAGGACAACACTTTTAAATGTCATAATTCTTCAATTACAATTTGTTGTATGAAGAAATAGGAGTTGCTTTGAACAACTCTTAGTCAATACAAACACTTAGTGCTTGTTTCTTTGTTACATGAACAAGGAACTTGAGAAGAAAGCACAAAGGCATGAACACTTTATGTGCCATGTTTCTTCACTTACAAATTGTTGTATGAAGAAATGAGAGTTGCCTTGTACAACTCTTGAAGGTTTGTAATTATGTTTAGAACATAATGGTTGGTTGACAAAAATAGTCCATTAACATGGACTTATGATGATTTTGAATCATTGAATGTTGAAGTGATAAACCACTTAACGAGACGGAAACTAGGCAAGGACTTCACCTTTGTGTCCCTATCCTAATGGTTCACTAAGTTTATTGTAAACTATGTAGTGAACAATAACCACATGCTCTCCAAAATTGTTTGATGTGTGTAACACAATTGAAAAAAAGGTTTCAAGAGAGATAGTGGGAGTTTAAGGACCATGTCTAATGTAGTCAAAGGTGAAAGTCAGATAAAGAAGATAAATAACTCCAAGGGAACAAACTTTCTTTATGAAAGGATGGACATTGGAAGGGGTATTTGCAAGAAATGTCTTGCAAGTGTCAAGAACACACCTTTCGAAGGTGTTGTAAAATGTTCTTGAAAAGTTCAAAACAGTTGGTTCTTCTACTTGAATGCATGATTCCGTATTAGTAACAAAGCTTTACAATCGTTGTAAAAGTGTGACTAATAAGAAGTAGAAGATATATGAGAGAAGAGAAAGTACTTCACATTCGAAGCGTGAATCAAATGTAGATCTCTGCGAAAGCAGATGGTACTTACTTCCTCATATGAACTACCAAAGAAATTGGAAAAACATAGATTGTCTTTATATTCCAATTTTAAGGAACTAAATTCCGTCACTATGTGAAATGGATAAATGTTTTGTTTGACAAAACAATGTTCTTTATTAATCAATCATTGGATTATGGTAATCTAATTAATTA